ATATCTCCTGGCAGGATTAATGCAGAAGCCAAGATGGGAGGAGGAAGGGTCCAGGTACTCTGCACAGTGCCTTACGTGTCACGTGCACTGAGTGAATATTAATGGGCAGCAGGGAAGTATGAAGGACAGCCACAGTGGGACCAAGAGGCAGGGTTGTCTGCTGCTGTGCGACCACAGGGCCACTGCTGGCCCCCAGTCTGCTTATTCTCTGGTCATTAAGCACAAGGAGAAGAGAATGAGTGTCAACTGCTCTTTGCAGTTCACAAAATTCAAAAGGGGCCAGGCACGGTGGTGCATGCCTGTAATTTGGGAAACTGAAGAAGGAGGATCACAAATTTGAGGCCAGCCTGGGCTACTTAGCAAGACCCTGTCTCAAAATAGAAAATAAAAAGGGCTGGGGATGTAGCTCCACTACAGAGTGCCCCAGAGTTCAATCCCCAGTACTGGGGGAGAAAAAGAAGTGGTGGGGGATTAAAACTTATATCTCTTACATCTCCCGACTCCCAAATTCAAATTGTTAGGAAGAGGAATTCCCCCCCCCCTTTTTTTTTTGTTGTTGTTCTTTTATTTTTGCCAGTACTAGGGATTAAACCCAGGACCTTAGCACATGCTAGGCAAGCACTCTACCAACTGAGCTACATTCCAGCTCCTTCTTTCTGTATATATATATTTTTATTGGTCCATTATAGTTGTAAGGAAGAAGAATTTTATTGAGTACTTGCTGGGTGCCAGACCCCATGCTGGCTCTGACATACATAGTTCATTGGTTACAGATGTCCTGAAGGGCAGGGTTTTGGGTTTTTTGGTTTGTTTTTATCCCCACCATCCAGATAAGAAATCAAGGCCAAAGAGGTACAACCATTTTTACAAGCAGTCACAGTTTATAAGTGGTAGTTGCATAATTGCATCTCTCACTCCAAAGCCTACTTGTCTTCCTGCTATATGGCCAAGTCTGCAGAGGGATACTTGTACTCCTTAAATTGCTAAAGGCTAGGCTGTTGAGGATTCCAGGTGTCTCAGACCACCCAGACACACCTATGACCCACGGTCAGGGCCTGGCTAGGTTTAACTTCACTGAATTTTCTCCCTGCAATTCTCCTCCTTTCTTCTCCTCTGTGTTATCTGCCCTTGCTACAGACAGAGCCACCTTCAGTTAAAGAGAAACAGCCCTGTACTCTTGTTAAAGGTGGTGATGACAGATTTTACTCAGCACTGTTGTCTAGGCAAAAGGGACTTCCGTGTAGAACTGAGCTCAATTCTGAATCCGGCAGAGGCAGCTGGGGTTTTATAACCAAAAAGCAGAGTGAGGGGTCAGTGGATGGACAATTACTAAGAGGAGGCCTCAGGGGACCCTGGCTGAACTGGCCTAGCAGGATCGTTGCTGAAGGCAAGAGTGGGAAGTGAGGTGCTGATCAGATATCAAAAGTGATCCCCTAGGGTGGCAGGATTCTTACTGAACTGATTTAGCAAGAGTCTTGCTAAAAACTGGGCAGGTCCAGGACAGGGCCCCAGGACGAGGCCTCCTGGAAAAGAGGGCAAAGAGCACCCAGCACAGGAGAGTGACTTCACTTCCCAGCAGATGCAGGGCGCCGACACCCACAGTGAGAGTTCACTGACCTTGGGATAAGTTGTCTTAGTGTGACTTCCAACAGTCAAAGAATTGGACCAGAGCTGAGAATTCCATGAGAAGGAACCTGCATCTGAAACATGCCTCCATGGCTGCACTGATTGGGCGATGCTGAGTCTGTGGGCATTTCCTCACTACTCTCCAAAGTAGGTGGGATCTAGTCATTAAGAGCAAGGTCAAAAGAGATGACCCAGTCGTCCAAATGCAGAAGCCAGGTGGGACCTGTCCCCCTTCTCCCTACACTGTGACTCATTTGTCATTCAAGCCCCTGAAGCCCCGCCCCCCAGCCACTAGCCAACAGTTCTTTGGGGGCTGGTAAGGAAGGGGCTCTGAACTTTGGATCACATGTTTGAGCTGGAATCGCAGGTCATCAAACCACTGGCCCCTGAGCGCCTCTAAAGATGGAGGGTACAGGTCCGAGAGCCTTCTTCCTCTGTCTTCCTCTTTCTCCCTTATTTCCCGTGTTTCCACTTCACCTCACTGTCCCCTGCACCCAGCTTCTCCAGAACATACCCCTGCACTGAACTCCTCTGGCCTATTTTAGACTGCTGGCCAGCCATCCATGAAAACAAGAGAGACCTCGATGGCAGAAGGATGAACCTGCGCACATTCCTATAACAGGAGCAGAGGTGGAATGTCTGCAGAAACCCAAAGGCATAGGTTTGCCACTAAGGCATGTGGGATAGAGTTCTGTCTCATATAGTCCTGGGTGTTAACTAGCCCTATTTTTGAACACTGGGCTCCTCTTTAAAAAAAAAATAAAGTTGTTCTTTTTAGATATACTTGACAGTAGATTGTATTTTGACACATACGTACTGGGAGTATAATTTATTCTAATTAGGATCCCATTCTCGTGGTTGTTCATGATGTGGAGTTTCACTGGTTGGTGTGTTCATATACGAACATAGGAAAGTTATGTCTGATTCATCCTACTGTCTTTCCTGTTCCCATTCCCCCTCCCTTCCCTTCATTCCCCTTTGTCTAATCCAATGAACTTCTATTCTTCCCTCCCAACCCCTTATTGTGTGTTAGCATCCATATATCAGAGGGAACATTACACCTTTGATTTTTGGGGATTGGCCTATTTCACTTAGCATAATACTCTCCAGTTCCATCTGTCTCTTGGCAAATGCCATAATATCATTTTTCTTTATGGCTGAGTAACATTCCATTGTGTATATGTACCACATTTTCTTTATCCATTCATCTGTTGAAGGGCACCCAGGTTGAACTGAACTACCTGTTCAGTTCCTTTGCCCGTTTATTGACTGGGTTTGGTCTTCTCTTACCTGTCTGTAAAATGGGAGTAATCAGACCTGGCTTATCTCATGAAGTTCTTAGAAGGCTCAAATGAAATTGTGCCTGTGAAAAGCCTCATAAACATCAAGGGGTCGTACAAAACAAAAACCGTGTAAGAGAAGCACCCCCTCTCTACCCCTGCATTCCAGTATGTGACTCTCTATCTTTAGCCATTCCCAGAGTTACCACAAGACTCTTGCACACCGTCGATGCCACTTTCTATGAGGCCCACGTTTGCAGTTTGTGCTCTTCATTCTGTGTCTGGTGGCTACCTGTGACTCTGCTAATGCTCACCTAGGGATCCTGTGACACTTCAGCTTACTGCCAGCTGTTGGCTCCTGATGGTGGGTGACTGTCAGTCTCCTTTTGTGCAGTGCCCAACTCCTGTGTGGCAGGCATTCACTTTACCACTGAGCTGCATCCCCGGCCTCGTGGGGCATGTTAATGAAGCTGTGGGGAGAGAAAGAGCAGCCCAGTGGAAATCTACCTGACCACGAGGGGTCTAGTTTTATTTTCACTATTTGCTAAGTGAACTTAGCTTTGTCATTTCACCAGCCTGGGTCCATTTTCCTCATTGGAATGAAAGTCCCATCTAGATCTTGATGGCCCATGATTCCCAGGTAGGACTAGCAGCTGTTTGGGCCCCACAGTTATGCCTGAGAGCGCTCCTGACAGGAAGCAAGCTCTGGCCTCTGGTGAGTAACAGTAGTTGATCACCAGACTCTGGTTCTCTCCCGCCCTCACCCAGTGCAGCCCCTGCCTCTCACCCAGTGCAGCCCC